TAAAACTGCTCACTATGGGTAAACAAAACTGTTCATTCCACATTAGTTAGTAAGCACAAGTAAGTCCATATTTACCTTGCTTACTGGGTACTCCATCCCTGTCAAGGACTGTAAATTTGAAAAGAGGCTTTGATTCCGTAGGAAGGTGCTGTGGGGTTGGGAGAGAGACAGATGCCAGCCCATACCTAGAAGCAGACTCTTTGATGTAGTGAAAACAATGTAAAATTCACTGTTGTTGTTGTTGTTATGTGCCCTCTAGCCCCGACTCATAGAGACCCCTCCTTGGGTTTCCGAGGCACCATCACTACGGAAGTAGGATTGCCCAACCTTCCTTCCGAGGAGTGGCTGGTGGGTTTGAACCGCCAGCCGTCTGGTTAGCAGGCAAATGTCTTAGCCATTATGCTACCAGAGCTCCCAATTCACTACAGATTAGTAAATAAGCACAAGTAAGCCCATGCTTACCTTGCTTATCGAGTAATCCAACACTGCAAAAGGGGTTAGATAAAAACGTGTAAGAGTTCTCCATCTTACTTGTCCAAAGTTCGAGGCTGTTTTTCCATGTCTCAACAGAACAAAAGAACTAATTCCATACTATAAAAACAGTCAAATTGCCTGTTTAGATGAGGGCCTGAGCTACCCTCACTGAAAGTAAATATTTTTACCACTAAGATCAAACACCCAAGAAATAGTGACTGCTTGATTGTGAGACTACTAGTCCTCGGTTGCACCACCTATGGTAGGATGAAGTGGAGATGCGACTCAGCATTTCGCTGCTGCTAAATGACATGCCAGGCACTGCAAGAGACCTTAGAAATGAAAGAACTAGGCACACCCTTCACATAAGACTGATCAAGTGGGCAGACCTAAAGGTCTAATGGGCAAGGAAGTCACATAAAGACATAATTTTAGCTTACTACTGCTGAGAACAGGAGCTCTGGTAGCATAATGCCTAAGACACTTGACTGCTAACCAGAAGGCTGGCAGTTCAAACCCACCAGCCACTCCTCGGAAGGAAGGTTGGGCAATCTACTTCCACAGTGATACTGCCTCGGAAACCCAAGAAGGGGTCGCCATGAGTCAGGTCTGACTCAACGGCACATAACAACAACAAGAACAAGTGTTGAGAACTACGAAAGGCCAAGTGGGGACACGTAGCTCAATAGCGGGCACTGCAAAAAGGTTTCCTTAAGAAGATGACATCTGAGTTGGGTATTAAAAGATGACTGAAAATTAAGCCAGGTGGCAAGAGTTCCAATCAGAGGAAGCAGCAAAAGATATAACCACCAAAGCCACTCACAGCAGATGTATGCATGAAGACAGGAGTGAACCGGAGACATATGCAACAAGAGGAGAAAATACAGGGCTGGGTGTGAGGTACAGTGGCAGGGTCACATGAGAATCAGGTCACTGAGGGCTTTATTGGATCAGATTAAGGAGCTAATAATAATAATAAAAGATGATATTTTCTGAGCACTTACTATGCTGCAAGCACTACATGTAACACTTTAAAACATTGTTTCATTTCATCCTCTCTGTAAGTCCATGAAGCAGGTTCCATGATTCTCACTTTACAGGTGAAGGTGCTGAGAGAGAGTAAAATAACTTACAACAGGTGACACCACAGCAAATGGGATGTGGGTTTGGAAGTCAGGATGACCTGATTCCACAGCTTGTACCTACATTCGTCCACCTCCAGCCTATCTTCAAAGGCTGAACAGACATACCGAGTTCACCACGCCGGCTACCGAATAGAGAGTGGAATTCAAGTAGCCCAACTGGGGACCTGTAACACTGCAAAAGTAACAACAAGATAGAGATAGAAAAGTGAGACTCCGTCCATGAAAAAATATGTCCAGAGGGACTGAAAAGGAAAATGCAACATGCACACCCTCCTAGTGCTTTCAACAAAAAATGGGCTTTTGAAAATGTGGTCCAGAAAATAAAATACCAGTATTTGGTAATGCTTCTGAGAACACAAGGTTAAAACATGTATCCTTCTCTTTGCTTACAACATTGTCCTTGATATTAAATTCAGTGAAGGAAAAGATCATGCCAGTCTTATTCATTCAGGATGGTGAGCATTCTGCCTGGCACAAGGAGAAAATAAACATCACAGGAAGGGAAGAATGAGAAATGGCTCATTTTTATAATGGCAGTGGCCAAGTGTCACTTTTAATTGGGAAAATAGGATTAGAAAATAAACTAATTTTTTTTTTTAAAGTCATATTGACAACTGAGGAACAGTAGTCACCTGAAATGGAAAGCACTTAGCAGTCATGCTGACTGCACAGGCAATAAGGAGTTGTTGTCACCACAGGATGCTACTCAAAAAGCCAGCACTGAATTCAAAATGTGATTCGTACTTTGTATAAACCATAACTGGTTAAAAATAAGATGTTATTAAAGGAAGTGGCCTGGAGGGGAAAATGTGCTTTATGAAAACAAAAGTAAATAGGCCAAAGATCAAATTCTAGGCCTAGTGATTTCCAGTCCCTGATCCTCACAGAAAACCAAACCAAAACCAAACCCACTGCCATACAGTTAATTGCAACTCAAAGCGACCCCCATAGGGTTTCCAAGGCTGTAAATCTTTACAAAAGCACAGTGCCCCATCTTCCTTCCTCAGAACAACAGCTGGTGAGTTTGAATCACTAACCTTTTGGTTAGCATCGAATGCTTTAGCACAGCACCACCAGAGCTCGTTGTTAAAGTGCCTTTTGCTTTTTTAGGAACTATAAAGAAGTTTATCCCTATGACACTTTTACCCACATTTAGTCCTCAACAAGAATTTTCTTTTAAGCATGTGAAAAGTAAAAATCCTATTTTTCATATCTGAAGAATTTTCAGACATGTAAAAGTTTCCTCCCAAAAAAGTCATTTCTTAATTTTAAGCATTTAGGAACAGCGAATCTACTTGGTCAAAATCAAAAACAAAAAAAATGTACAAATGTATTTCCTAGTGAAATAGGTCCTTATACTGAAATCCTTTGCTCACTTATTCTACTAAAAATAAGATGGGTGTGCTTTGAGCTTACCTAACTGAAGGCTATAAACAATGTCATTTCATCCTATCTTCCATTGAGATATTCTGAAAAATGTTTTGACACTTTACCAATTATATTAGGGAAATTCTGAAACTAATTACATGAAAAATTAAAGCGCAAGTGGAATTGGGTTTCTCATCTTCACTCTTGCTATCTTCACTCTTCGACAATCTTCAAAAATTTAACTCAAATGAATGCAAATTCAAAATAAATGCTCAGTTCAACCGTTTTGAAACTTTAATTCCACAAAAATACATAAGCTGTTTTGTAAACCCAAATTTGAAATTAAAAAAAAAGCTAGGCTTTTAATGCTAATTGTTTAAAAGTGTGTATATAGATTAAATAAAACTGACTCATGAACTATTGAGTCTTGAATTTGCAAATCATAAATCTTATCCTTGTAAACAGAGCCTATCCCAGATAACTAACAAAATCAGGGCCAGATCATTTTCTTTCTTCCAAAATCCAAGATCAAAATTTTAATGTACAAAGAAAAATAAGGTTACCATTTTTAATATTTATTACCAAACCACAACTCAGATTTTAAGAGTCTGTCATAAAATCAGAGACAGTTGCACATTCCGGTACTGCAGTAGGAAAATAGTCAAGAAGGAAACACATTTTACTAAACCCTACAACTCAAATATGTGTTAGGATTTTTTGCTTATAATAGTGCTTCTTCCTCATTCCATTAAAAACTCCCATCCCAAGCTACCTTCAATATAAGCCAGAATTTTAAAAAGTTCCCAATCTACTTAAAATTCTCCGTGAAATTTACCTTCTAGATTTTAGCATATATTTCTTCCACACAAACCTAAAAGGCAGTCAGTCAGTGCCCCTTGGTAAATAAAAGATGTGCCTCAGGGTGATGTGAACTGTCAACATCCTCTACATTGCATCCAGTATCTACCCAGGCCATCTCCAACTCATCAGGGGAAAAAAAGAAAAAAGATGTTAAAGAAAAAGGGAACATAAAGTTATCTAACCATGGCATTTTACAGATGAGGAAACTGAAGGCCAGAAAGACTGGATGGTTTGCCCAAAAAGTCAGTCACCCAGACCCAGAGCGTAGCTGCAGATGCTCAGTTCTGTGGACTATAGCTGCAATATTTGTAACTTTTGAGGTCTCAGGGATTCTGTTGCCAATCCCTGCATCATCATCATTATTATTACGTTCTTGAAATCAAGACTGATGGAGTGGGCAGCCGTTTCACGATTTTAACCTTTCCATTTCCACCAAAAAAAAAAACTTCAGAGAATCATCGATTTCCTGAAGGCAGCAACCTCAGCACCTAGCACCTTGTAGGCACTCAGTAAACAATTCCACGCCTTCCACCTGACCATCCCCACTCCATACCCCGTCCACGCCAAGGGGATGCCAGACAACTTTCCTTTAGAAAGCGCTTCTTGAAACTTTTCTACATCCCCGGCCTCAGAAGGCCGCCTGGGAAGATGTGTAGCTACTTCCAGCATTTTAGGGGGGAGTAACTGGCCATTTAAGGGAGTATTCGGAAAGAAATGGATGGGCGCGTGGCGTTGCCAGCTGAGCATCGCCGCGGTAGCTCCAGGTGTGCGAGTTGCCTGGCCGGCCGCTGTAGCTGCCGCACCCGGCCGCTGCTCCCCTGCCTCCTTCAGATAACCAACTTCTCAAACTTCCCTTTCCGGGGTTGGGGGCTCGCCTCGAACGCGGCCAACACAACGCCTTTCCAGTTCACACAAAGGGGACCAAAAATGCCCTGCGCCCCCCTTCCACTTTAACTTTCCTTCTCTTTGGAAGAAAAAACTCCCACATCCCTGCGGCTCAGGGAGCCCGGCGTCTAGCTTGCCGCAAGAGAAACTTTCCCCGTTTCCGCCTGAGCGCTGGCTTCCCGGGGCCGACTGTCAAACGCAAAGAAGGGGCGGAGAGCCCAGGCGACTCCCCGCGCCCGCCAAGCCCAAGTTGCGGAATATACTCACCCGACTTCTGAACTTGCTGCGGGATCGTGCTGGCGATACGCGTCCACAAAACGATGTGCAGCGGCCACAGGCCCCTGAGCAGCCCCCGACCCATGGCAGATCCCGCTGCTCTTCATAGACTAAGCCCAGAGCGCAGCGGACGACGCCTCCCCGGGCCCCAGGCTGCGCCTCCGCGCGGCGCCCTCTCCAGACCCCGCGCCGGGCGGGCCGGGCAGATGTGCGGGCCAGATGTGGCGTCCACGAGCGAGCTAGGCGGGGGCCTAGAGGCCAGCGAAGCGCGGGGAGGCCCCCGGCGGCCGAGGAGAACTGCACAGGAGGCCGGCTCCAGCCCGGGGCATGTGCGCGCGGGGGTGTTGTCTGTCGGTGCGCGCGAGTGACTCACTCAACTTCACCCGGCCGCTGCGGGGGAAACAGGAAACTCCTCACCAACAGCTGGGCAGGACCTCTCGCAGCCGGAGAGCCTTCTCTCTCTCCTGTGCTTTCTAGCCCTAGCGTTCTCGCGTGGCTGTCAATCATTTCCTTTAGACCAGCCCCTCTGAGAACTTCGGTAAACTTTCCTCTGCCCCTCTACGCCCTCCTACACCACTCAGTAGAGCTTCTCTCCAAGCATTTACGCAGGAGTGACTTAAGTGCAAGGGTTTCAGAAAGTAATTGAATACAATGTCATCATTTTCCATAGCATCCCCACAAAGCCTCTTACCCCCCTAAAGCCTTCATCCAATTGTTTTAGAGATTTTACAGTTGTGTTTTTCAAACTACAAGTGGCGGTACACGAGTGTATCCTGAAGTCTATTTTGTGAGTAAAAACATCAAAAAAAAAAAAAAAAACCTCAATGCTCTCCAGTCGGATCCGACTCATAGCGAACCCTCCTTGGGTTTCCCAGGTGGTACCAATATGGAAGTAGATTGCCCAATCGCCCTTGTGAGGAGTGGCTGCTGGGTTTGAACTACCAGCCTTCTGGTTAGCAGTTAAATGCCTTAGGAACTATGCCACCAGAGCCCCCATTTTGTGAATAGTAGTAATTATTTTTTCTAATAAAATCATAAGAATGAGTATAGTTTCATTTAACTTTGGTTTCAGTTATATGTATAAGGAGCCCTGGTAGCATAGTGGCTAAAAGCACTTGAATGCTAACCAGAAAGCTGGCGGTTCAAACCCACCAGCCACTCCTCGGAAGGAAGGTTGGGCAATCCTACTTCCGTAGTGATACTGCCTTGGAAACCCAAGGAGGGGTCGCTATGAGTCGGGGCCGACTGGACGGCACATAACAACAACATGTAGAATGGCCTCTTCCTGGATAATGGTAAATGATTAGCCATCACAGAACGATAGCGGGAGATTATCATCAGCTATTGTTGTTGTTATGTTCCGTAGAGTCGGACTCTTAGCGACCCCTCCTTGGGTTTCCGAGGCGGTATCACTACGGAAGTAGATTGCCCCATCTGCCTTCCGAGGAGTGGCTGGTGGGTTTGAACTGCCAGCCTTCTGGTTAGCAGTCAAGTGCCTTAGGCACTATGCTATCAGAGCTCCCTCAAATACAGGAGAAAATGTAAAAATGAAAGTGGGCTGGGAGTCAGCTAAACATATAGGTTTGCATTCCAATAAGGCCCACCACTCATCAGCAAAACCCACCAGCCACTCCTCAGAAGGAAGGTTGGACAAACTACTTTCCCCCACAAGGAAGGGTCACTGAGTCTGATTCCACTGGATGGCAGTGAGTTTGTGTTTTTTTTTTTTTTTTTTTTGGTTCACCTGCAAAAAGAGGAATAAAGGGAGCAGGACAAGATAAATGGGCACGTTTCCCTTTTTACTAGGGCGACAAGGTTTGCCCAAGACAATTCTGGTTTACATCTGACTGTGCAGTTTAATTATCAATGGAACACCCCTTCTCTTTCAGACATGTCTTGGGTGGGTAATGAATTACATAGGTTGATCCTGGAGCCCTCAGTCTTGTCACCATTGTCCCACCCAACACTGAAGCTGGCTCTGGCATTTTAGGAAAATGCAACTTTCCTGATTTCATATTTAGCATATAGGAAAGACAATGAGATCAGGAGGGCTGGCCATCTTCTTTCCCACCCACCAATACTCTTGCCAAAACTAAAGCTACTTTAGCATCAAAGGGAAGTTGAGATCAAAATTCGTTTATCCTACATCCTGTGTAGTCACTCTTCTAATGCCACCACCACCATACCCTGTCAGTACTTGACCAGGTGCCTCCTAACCACTTCCATTAAAGCCACCCTGGGCCCTTTCATTTAGTTCCTCAAACCAGAACTTGAATCAAGTTTTCAAAATGCAAACCTGATTATACCAACCATGTGATGAAAATATTTCAATGGTTTTCCATTGCTCTTAAGATAAAATGAAGACAGAAACTAAATTATTTAACATGCTCTTGAGCCCTAATCTCTCCTGTAATCTTTCATTCCACTCTTTCCCTCTTGCATACAAGGAACTTTCTTTAACTTCCTTAAACATGCCTGTACCCCTTCCAACAGGTTTCCCTAGTGTGAACTTCCCCTACTCTGTCCTTCCCATCCTCTTTTCTCAGTCAGCTTCTAGTCTTCATTGGGTAAATCATAGCTTCCTTAATGGGCAAGCTTTCACTGCCTCCGTAAGTAGATCTTTTACATAAGTTCTCTTGTCACTATGTACCTCTCTTTTTTAGCATTTACTATAGCTATAATTTTACAAGTATTTATGTCATTCTTTAATGTTAATTCTTCTCCCCAACTCAACTCCAAATTTCTTAAAGGCATGAATTATATCTTTCCCTTCATTCACTATTGGATCTTCAGATCTTACCTCATAATAGGTGTTGAAGAAATATTTGTTGGGCCAACAAACGAATGAGATAATATTCAGAAGAAAATTCTACTTAATCATCCTAGTGATTTCATAACCTCAGAGAAGGCATTCTATTACCTAATTATTTCACATGGAAACATGCTAGATTTTAGCTGGGGGATAATGTCACCACTACTGCCTTTTCTTAAGAATGGAAAAGTGTATGGATTTCTTTCCTTTTTTCTTCTTCTAAATTTCCCCAAATTCCTGTGCACAGCATACCTGTACTTCTTAACTCCCCAAATCACATTGAAGTAAATAAAAGCCCAATCCATTCCAAAGGCATTGTTTTTTTTATATTTATCACAAAGACAGATGTTCTCCATCGTTAGAGGCCAGGTTTGAGATGCTGTGTTCCTAGGTAGAATGTTTAACTGGTAGACACTTTTCAAATTAAAGTATATCACTAATATTGATTTACTTTTCTTTGCCTTTACCATTTCTGATTCAATTGTCAATGTTCTGTGAAATTGAGGAAAGTACGAATTCATCATTGCCAATGCAAACTAGTCTTTTGGAAACCATCAAAAAGAGATGATAGACAAGTTTTTTGTTGTTGTTGTTGTTGTTGTTAGTTGTCTTCCAGTTTATTCCAACTTGTGGTGAACCCCATGTGTTCAGAGTAGAACTGCTTTATAGAATTTTCAAGGCTGTGACTTTTCGGAAGCAGATCTCCAGGCCTGTCTTCCAAAGCACCTCTGGCTAGATTCAAACTGCCAAGCTATCTGGTCGAGTGTGTAACCATTTTTGCCACCCAGGGACTCATAGACACGGAAAACAATGGATATTACAATTTGACAATCTTAAAAATTTGTCAATTTGCCCTTCCCATAGAGACCTGCATTGAAAAGGAATTCCCTCAGATCTAGGCATTGTTTATACACATAGTTGTGAATGTGACTTAATATAATTTTCTGTATATTCATATAGGCAGTTCATACACATACACAAAATTTAGGCTATTTGCAGATGGAAATAGAAAAAAAAAGAAAGAAAAGAAAAGCTTGACTGAGGGTTGAAAAAAACAAGATAATTGTTAAGCCCTTACCAAGTTGAAAATACAATAAAACCCAACTTGAAGCAAAGTCAAACAGCTTGACAGCATTCCTCTTCCAGTTTTACAAAGTCTGCATACACTTGCACAAATTATTGAGCTGAACCAAAGTGTGGTTAATTTCAACCTCTCCATTTCCCAGTTGTGATGAGGGAAGAACTCTCTACTCCGCTGAACTTTTTAACACGCAGCTGTTGAGGTTACTGGCAGCAAAGGAGAATGACAGGGAGATTCTTCTCCAGGCAAATCAATCAGTCTGCATTCTCAGCTATTATCTCTTGGCCAATTTTTCTTCTATTTAGAAGCAAACTGATAAGCACTGAGTTGGGAGTAAATTTGTGAGTCTTACCTACCCTTTAAGGATCATCCATAATGCTAGTTTCTCCAAGAAACATTTTTTTATTCCACCAACCTAACATGATCTCTCCTCTCTGGGAAAGCATTTATTTTATTTAAATTGATTAAGTGTCCAACTTAACTGAATTAAATGAATTTATTTTATTTTTCATATATATATATATATGTATATATTGTCTCATTTTGAGTTGGAGTGCATTATATTTGTCTGTTGCTGGAATTGTACCCACCAATTTTAAAGTCTTTGAAAGCACAGATTACTCCTTTTTCAATGTTGAACCACACTCTACTCCTGCAAATATTAAGTACAATGTGTATTTCTTGTCTTTGGTAAAGGGAAAAATGGGAATGAAAAGTGTGTTTCCCTAACACATTCCTTGTCTATACTTGTTTATAGATATTAAGAGAATCTACCACATGCTTAGAGAAAGCATGAGTAGTTGTTTTAACAAACAAAGAACTATTTTAAAAATTCAAAAGTAATATATGTTAACTGTAGGCCAAAGAATCAGAAATGCAGAGTTATTTATTTATTTATTTATTTTAAGGAAGAAAGTAAAAAGAATTCTTAAGATCATCACCCAAAGATAAATATTATTAACATTTTGGAAGTTACAGATTTATAGATCAGAGTAGAAAGAAAAGGAGATATGTAAGTTGGAATAAAGATTTCAAAATGTCTAGAGTACAGATGTTAGTCATTTTGATTGGATTATCAGCCCCAATTTCACACCCCACCCTTAATCCACGCTGCTTGCCCTGTGACTGTGTACTTCCTCTCACTACAAGAAAAGGGTACTTCTTCACCCTTTGACCTTAGGTTAGCCATATCACTGGCTTTGGTCAATAGGATGTCAACAAACATGAAGCAAGAAGAGGCTTGACATGTGTTTGCATAGTTGGGCTAAGGCACTTGTATTTCCACTATCACCATGAGACGAATGGTCCCTGGGTAGCCTGCCAGTCCAAGACGATGAGAGACATAGAATAGACGTGGACCACCTCTTGGTCTCCCTGCTAGGCTGTGATCTTGAGACAGCAATTGTGACTTTCACACCTTTAGTTTCTATGTCTGATCCACATTTTGGTTCAGTTAATACTGATTAATGAGAGGATGAATCAGTAAATAAACTCTATATTCAAGGATTAAATTTTGAAGATTGTGAAT